TTTGTTTTTTAACTTCAAATATTCTTATCCCACAAAAATTCCTTTCCAGATAATTTCGAAAAAGTAATTTACTGGAACATTTTACACCATTTAATAATACAAATTTATTTTCATTTCAAATCAAAGGATCACTGGCTACACGTTTTATAGTTTTAGAAGATTCTTTTGATACTTCGAATTAGTCAATTCTTCGTTGTCATTTGCAATGTCATTTTGTAGTGTAAGACATGCCTAATAAAAGGCAGAGATTTTTATTAAATTACCTATTGAAGTCTTCATCTTTTTAATTCTTCAAAATGACTCATTTTTTATGGTTATAGACTGAATATCTTAAAAAAATCATTTGTGTTTGATATTTTTTATGCCATATTTATAGCCTATCCGTGAAAAAGTATATAAGACATAGTTGGTTAATATTGAAGCAAGTTAATACTTTCCTTGACTAATTACTGCGAAATGAAGAAAATGGTAATAAAATATCTGAACCTACCTGTTCTATTGAAGTTTTGAAGATGCACCCTTGTGGCGAATAAAAACGGAACAATTAGCGCATAACGCATGAAGTATTTCGAGGCCATAGTGATATGGATAACCGCGAATCATGATATCAGACTATGATCGATTGCGGTTGCACCTGTTGCCAATGTAGTTGACGTAACCGATGTTGTCAGACCGTTATATTTCGGTGTAATCGGTGTAACCAAAGACGGTGTATGAACGTCAGGTGTATTATGTTACGATTGTATTGTTAACCACTGTCATGAATTTTTAAAATATTTCACAGTAATCTTCTTTTTAAAAAAATGAGAAAAGTCAATATTTAATGTGTAAAAATGAAGATATGTGTAGGAATGAAAATTTCTATTTGCATGATGCTATTTATGTTTCACTAATCTGATTGCAAATATCTGCTATTAATTCGAAGATTTGCAATATTTTTTAATAATCAGTAACAGTAACGAGAAATTAACACGTTTACTCTTAAGAATTGACTTTGTATCGTAAGAAATCAATTGCGTTTTAATGAAATAACAGTAATAAAGTATTAATCTCGCGTTGAACTTTCATCATCATCTTTCATCTGTATGCAGTGCACTCAGGTTATTCTTTTCTCAAAATGAATTACCACATTCAGTGATCATAAGTATAAAATATTTTATAAAAGTATATACACGTACATTTATATGGTGCGTAGAGAAATTATAATAAAAATATACAATGTGAAAGAAAACATAATTATTTCACGTTGAATACAATTCAGGAACAGGGAAACTCGATTCTGTACATTCGCTCGAGAATGTGTTTTTCTCCCTAGAAACACTCAATAGTTTCTAATGAAACAAAGAAAACATTCTTTGAAACTAAGTTAACGAGAAATGGTACGTAGATTGAGGAATAAAACTGTTTCATTTCAATATTTCACGTATTGATGAGTTACATGAAGCTCAACATTAAATATCAAACTTTATAATTTTGCTGTATCAAACGAAGTGTCGGCTGAGAGCTGCCTCAGAAGTTCGAAGGATTAATAATTTCAAAGATTTCCGTGTAAAATTGTACAAAACGATGCCTCCAGTTTCTATCTCACCAAATCTAAACTGAACCTCATTTAAACTCTATTCTGCACACTCGTATCTATTACAATTCATTACTAACTATTCAATCAAACTAATAGCTTCTGTTACATGTAATGTTTTTACTATAACCTTCTGATAAATTATTTAGTAATACAAAATTGCGTAATATTTTGTTCGCCTCCGTTCATGGAACACATTCGCACGATCTGATCCTCGATCAAGTTGCGTCGGTATATCTGTAGATCACGCAATCGGCATCCTTATTTCTAACAAAACGAGATCTATATATTACAGTGCTGTTTCACGCGTAAAAAAGAAACGCTCGTAGAAAAAAGAAAGAAGCAACTGCTCGTTCGTAGTTACAACATTTACAGTGTGACCGATCGTTAAGTCGTGCTTTTGACCCGCAATTGCAAGAGTCCGGCTAGCGCGCTAGTGAAACCAGCGTTATAGTCCAATGTGACTTCAGTGTACACGTAATCTTCTCGATGATCGTGGAACTTATCCGCCTCGTCGGGTCCGGAAACCAAGGCCCCGTATAAAATTTGCGGATTTGGAGCATTCTTGTCAAATTCAGGCCATCCGCAGGCTGCTGGTCTGTCAGGGCAAGACGAGGCTGCATGATGAGGCTGCTTTGGTGGATTTCGACCCCATCCGATCACATAGCTCCTTCCTAATTAAAGAAAACGGTTCATTTAACGATCAATTCTAATTAACTTATGGCCCTGACGTGTCGGTTCTTTTACAGAATAGATTAATAAAATTATTCATCTATTAATTGAATGAATAGATTATTATAGGTTAATCATTAACCCTTAACACTATTACTACCAGATGGGTCAACACTATCGATTCCTGATTTCTTTCTTTACAGTTCCTAAAAAGGTACATATGCTTCTTTGAGAAAGGATTAAAGAAGTTGATTTAGTACTATCAAAACTGAAATAGAAATCAATTGCATCTTAATAAACACACGTTTACAGTTTTTATAAAGGAATTATGAAAAATCAGTTTAAGTTTGCCACTGTATCGTTAAGAATTAAATTGTTTTCTTAAGTTAGAGGCATCTTCTGGTCTAGGCACGTCTTGTTGGAATAACTTTTTGAATTTCTTGTTTTTATTAATAAGATGATTGATATTGAATAAGAATATTCAAAAACATAAGTAACTAGATAATATTGTAAGAGCTGCGATGCCAAATCATTAATAATTATCCTTAACACCATTTATCTTTGTCATAAAAGAATAATACTCATATATGCTAATAATGCTATAACATGGCTAATAATAATAATGCTAATAACGTGGCAAATTATTTGCCAGAATAGTAGTACGTAAAATGCTAAAAGTTCTCATAACAGTGGAACTGTTAAAATAATTGGATCGTTAAGGTGTCCTTACAATTTTTACAGCACCATTTGATCAAAAGCTTACCGCCGCCACCCAGCATATAATAAATTTGTTGCTCGGCAAATTCACGATATTCCTGAGGATTGCCGATACCGGGAGAGTCGGCCGCCTCCAGGCAAACGAACGCCACGTTCGCCGCATGGCACAAAGTACCGAATTTGTCGATATAGAGCAAACCCTTCGGCGTACGTTTTTGCTGGCGCACCGAGAAGTCGCAAAAAGCGCGTGCTGCATTCTGATATTCCATTTGTCCTGTTAATTGAGCCAACAGGACCTGTAACAGGCAAGAAATTGTACCCACTGCTTATATTCGCCTCTCCCCTTCTTATTTTTATTTGTTCTATACAAAATTTTCTTCTTCTTAATTTATTCTATTCTTCCTTAAATTTCTTTGCGCTCCGTGCGATCTAATTCTTGCCTCTTTTCTCATTGTATCAAAGTGTTTGACGAAACTATCGTAGAACCATGTTTTCCGTAACCTTCCAACTTTACTGCCGTATACTATTCAAACTTCTAACTAGTAACATAAGTATTGATAACGTAGTGTCGTCACATTCGCGACCACCGTAGACCGTGGCTTTCTTGCAATTGTTTCGCGTGATAGGTTATTTATATAATTATTATAGATTTAGAACATAGTAACTAAACTAAACGAAGCATTTTACGTAAATATATAAATGTTTGGCTATATCAAAATACCATATATGACATATGTGTGATATTTTGATATAGTCAAAGCGACAATAGGATATCTTATCCGCTGATTATATGTTAACATCATTATAGCAATGGTAATCAATAGGGTCACACATACATGACGCGTGGTCGTGAATGCGTTGAATTTGTCCACATTTATTGTTAACACGTTGAATGCTATGGGGTCACCGGTGACCCTGAATCAAATTGAATTACTATAGTTCACTGAAGTAAATGATGATCATTTGAAAATGTTTCTATATTGTAAATAATGCTACCTAATGTGGTGACATTCAGTTAGATGAACGTGCAATTATAATAATGCAGTTCAATCGGATGATTTAATATTTTATTATTTCTATTTTGTATATTGTAAATTTAAACAATTCTTGTAATTGATCAGTGAAGTAGTAAGAAGACGCCTTATCGATCTAACGAAGAATGTTTTATTAATTACTGTTGATGTTTCGCTCGATCGCGGTTAAGCTCACCTGGACTCCAGCGACCTTCTTATTATAAAAGAATTCATTTGGCCTCTCTTTGAGATGGAAATGTTGGTAATAATCCTCAGCATCCTCGAGATACATCGTTTCGTTCGTTGCTTTGAAAAGCCAGGCAGCTGCCCAGGCCAATTCATCGCCATAATCGGTGCTCTCGTAATATTGAGCTGCTCCGCGAATCGCTTCGTGATAAAGTCCTCGATATCTGCTCGCGAATCTGTACAATTCTTTGGCGTGCTTTAAACATTCTGCACTGTACTCGGGATCGTGGTTGTGAAAAACAATACTCGATGCGGCGAGGGCAGCCGCTGTTTCTCCCGCCAAGTCGGAGCCTAAACAGTTCCAGAAAATTTACGATTAAACTGGAGATCTTCGATTCTACTGACATTTTCCAGAAAATCAATAGAAAAGTTAGAATTAGACAACTTATATTGGAAACTTGGAATTAGAACTGGAACGTTAGAAAAATAGGATTACCGTGAAAAATAGGTTTTGTTAAAAAATACTATAAACAACAGTATGCTGTGGAAAATACTGTGAATAATAGTATATTAAATATTCTTAAATTAATGAAATTTTAAAAATCCCTGAGGTACGGTCTTCCCAAATAGGAATACCCTTTCAATCTCGATGGAAAAGTAAAAGTGGCGAAAATGTGTAACGCAGAGAAAGTCGAATGTGTCGCTCGGGAGTTCTTGGATATCGGCTGCTTATATAATGGTAAACGTGAAATTTGGATGCACGCGATGTGCAGGTGTCCAGTAATTCCAGTTTATGATTTTTGCAGTGACCTACGAAGACGATGGTCGTCACAACACCTACGTTATGCTACATTACATATTAGAATTAGAAGTATCGCATCAAATAAGCGAAATAATTTTCGGAATTAATAATTCTATTTGCATTCAACAACAAATATCAACAGAGACTAGAAGGAACGTCCTTAATAACTTTCATAAGGAGTGCATACCGATCATATTAAATACTTGGTAGTTCTAGTATTTCTTGGTAGTTATTTCATTTTAATGTATAAGTGTTATTATTTCTCGAACTGTTTGTTATTTAAAAAAATGTATCAAATGGCATTTTTGTTTCGTTTTGGAATGACAATAATTTGGTACACTTAAATACATAGTTATACGTATATACACGTATGTACATAGTTTGTCTCTAGATCAACATGTGTAGGAGATATATAAAGGTCACCACTAGTTTCTGAAGCATAAACATGTAATTTGTGTTGCATCAATCAACATTCTTTGCGAAAAAGTATTAAGCAACGTTAAAATAAAATGTATTTGACACATTTTTCAAATGACAAATGGTTCTAAAAGTAATCGCATTTATAGAATTAAATAGGACATTCTATATATGAATCGTTCAGAAGCCAATGCGGTCAAGTCGATTTTTTGATATTTTCTGATTTTTGTAAATTTTACTGGAATAAATAATATTCTTTTTAGTTATTAAAGGATTTACTTGTTTCTTCGTCTTTTTCTAGATCAAAAAGTCTTCCTTTTTGTAACTTATGAATGTATTATATAATAATTTCATAAGCCATTACATTAATTTCCACAATTTTTGTTTCCTGGACTTAACCGCATTGGCTTCTGAATGACTCATATGCAGATATGAATGTGCCCCTTTGTTGTCGACTAAATCACCGATTGAATAATTTATTTCATTATACCAGGATGTTCTGGATCGATCTTGTACGCAGGTCTGCTGGTATTCAATTCTTCCGGTCTTCCCCAGAACGTGTGATCAAGCGAGAAGTCTCCGACTTGCCCATAAAGAACGTATTCGCTAACGTGACACTTGATGAAATAGTCGGTAGCCCATTTAATAGCTTCACGAAGTTCATCCAGTTGTCCGGCTGCGTTGTACGCTTCTGACCAGCTGACTGCGCCCCAGGCTAATAGTGTTGTCGTCGAGGCCATTGTGAATCCGAATTTCACAAAATCACCAGCTAGAAAAAAGTATATAAATACTATCGTTTACAAGGGTCCTGAAAACCAAAGAAATGATCAAATTCTTAAACTGAAAATCAGAATTATTTCTACTTCCGACAATTCCTCTTGCCCCCTGTTAACTTAACTAGTACATTAGCAAACATAATTGATTACACTGATACTTAAAAGTGTCTTTTGATGTGTATTTTTAATAGAGTATTTAAAATAATATGTCATTGGAGAGAAAACGTCAAAAAAAGAGTATAGATAGTTGCAACTTTCGGTTTAATCATTTCCAGGCCAAATTGAATTATATTACAATGCAGAAGGATAAAAACTGAAGTATAAACACTGATTTTTCCAGACAAATCAATCTACGCAGAATTTAATAGCACTCGGTCAAATATAACGCGAATGAAGAAGTTATTTCTATAATATAAACGATGACAGAATACATGTACGTTTTGATGGTGATATGGAACACGTAGTATTTTGAAATTCAGAAATTGCATATATGTAAGAAAGGAACGTTAGATATTCCTGAAAAGTGAATTGACTTTACTGTTTGTGTAGACAATTGCTTCACAGAGAAAAATTGAATGTTACGTTTTACGTAGTAATTACCATCGTAATAACCTCCAGTCAGATCTTCACCGTTTAAACCATGATCGTTCAGCGCCGAGTCCTTTCTCCATGGGATTCTATTGTTCTTTGGTAATTTTCCTGATCGTTGTGCTTCGTAAAATAACAGCGAAAGCTCCAAGACCCGGGCGTAGTCATTCTCGTCCTCGATAGGTTTCACATAGTACGTTGGGTTTGAATTTATAACGTCGATCAATGCAATAGACGTTATAATCGCAGTCTGCAATAGTTTCATGTTTGCGCAAATTCAAATCGATTAATCGGTTATGTAAGGACTGTGCATTCGATGTGTTTACAAAGTACACGTGTGTGCAACATACAATGCATGCATGCTTAGCGAAGATTTCGTAAGATTTATTTTCCACCTGCATCTTACAACGGTTTCAATGGGACAAAATATGTTTCCATTTCTATCGAATAATTTAGAAAAATAAGCGTAATTTATTTATGCTAATAATAGTATTGGGTCATTTCATAAATAATGCAGTTTCTTGCATCTTTTATTTTTAAATAAGATAAAAGAAACTTGTTCCATTTAAAATATATTCTCCTTCATTACCTATTGATAATGAATTAATCGTTAAACATAATAAATAAAACGATTACAATGAATATATTAATGTTTAAAAATAAAAGAAGTATAGAAAATATATTTACGAAGTGACTAAATAAAATGAAATATTTTACGATCGATATAGTACAATTTCATTTGCGTTGTAGCTCTATTTTTGTAAAAGATCGTATAATTTCATTAATAAAAATTTAATGCAGAAACGGATGTCCCGTATCAAGATGAGGTGAACATATAAGATCGAAAATTATTAACAGAGTACTGTATTAACGCTTAATCAGTCGATCGAGTAAAAATACCCGCTTGAAAAGCTTACGTAAACGGTCAGACGACTATTAATATCCGTTTAGACTTTATTGTAGATGGAAGTCATTTATAAGTTATTCATCGTAACACTAATCAATTTCTTTATCAATTTACATATTCGACCATAGTATCTTTTATTAAATATCACAAAAAAATTAATAAATACGAAAGTTACAGCAAAATTCATAGTTCACTTCTTTCTGCAAACTTACAAACTATCGTCAGTCGTCAACGAAGGTTCTGTCATTTAACTACTGGCTAGTGAGGCGTCAAGTAATTATTTCCCGAATAACATTCATTTGTTCAGATTCCATTGTCCATTTTCATATCTCGTAACTAGAAGTACAGATTCTCGTCAAGTTTATTGAATTAAGAAAATAGAGCGATACATTGTTGACACGTGAGACGATATAATAAACTCGTAAAGTACTGATCTATCCGCAACGCACGTATCCTAAAGGCTACGTGACGGATTTCAGCAAAGGCCGTCTAACAGCCGAGAACTAAACTTTCGGTATGACGTTAGCAAGTCGATGGAAAATCTCTTGATACGAAGCCACTCCTCGTTCCGTTTCAATCGCGAGAATATCTTCAACTTATACTGTTCGCAGGAGTTTCGAGAAGAAATTGTGAACTGCTTTGGGTTTCAGAGGAACGAAAGTAATATGTTGCTGCTGGAGAAACCGCTTCCTAGTGTATTCATACGGGAGCGAGTTCTCAAGGCATATTATTAACGATGCACATATCAGGTACGTGTATTAATGAATAAGTGGTCTTCTTTTAGAAAATTTAATGTCTGTTGTTAAGGGCATTACTTTGGAGGACAATTTTTATTAAGGCTATACTACGAAGTGTAGAATGTAAATTACATGGTCATTTCACGCAGAAAATTATAGACCTTTTAATTGAGATACTAAATAATTCTGTGTCAATAATATCAGCGGGATTGTTATAGAATTTTGATTATTAATTATGAAATTGCTTTGTAATTTTATTCAGAAAATAGTAGATATTCCTGGTTCGGTGTTTTCGAATTTAGATACATCATATGAACGTTTAAAAGGGAATTCTAATGGACATTGACGGAAATAGAAAAAGGAGTTCCGATTTAGTCAATTGGTTTGATTAACTTATAGACAGAAATTATTAGCTTGAAGATCAAGGCTTTCCTTCACTAGAAATTAAAATATTAATTGCAAGTGATCTATAGTATATTCGACTAGAATAAATAGAAACAAGTACTCATACAATATTAACTTCTTTGTGCTGTAACTTAACCTCATTTTTTGAAGTTTTGTAAATTCAATGCTGAAACGTTTAATTAGTCCTCTACGTACATAATGTCTTCAAATTCTACTTTTCACTTTATGCAGTTAATCACTTTCGCAAACGAATGGCTTGTACTATGTTGAACTATGTTTAAATCAGTTAATTTTTAAACTAGGTTCATAAATATGGTACGATCCATTCATTTGCCAAGATGATTAACCCTATACAATGAAAAGTAGAAGAATTCGACGAAATTATGTATATAATGTAGTAATCAAGCGTTTCAGCATTAAAATTCACAAATATTCAACTATTTAATCGATTTTCACATAGTTAACATTATTTTCTCATAACGGTATAAAACGAAATTCCGTTCTCCAACGATACTAAAGAGGTACGTGGAGTTTGGAACCACGTTCGGAAATTCTTCTTTGCCCAAGCATTGTACGTCTGTTCCAGGAAATTCTCAAGGTTCGTCGACCACGTAATATCTGTGTGACAAACGCCAATACTTTCTGCAAATACGGCGCTTATTGTAAACTTGCGTCCCCGCGTTTTTACCACGGTGACGACAAATTTTGTCCACACGCTATTCACGAGCTAAAACTAAAGCAAAAGAATATAAACTCTGATATTTACGATGCTGCGTCGCTTTCATTAGAAATCCGCATATTTTCAGTGGCTTTATTCATCATAAGCTGCATTGCATAAATATATTTACATTTACGGTGACCATATTTCATTGAAGAGAGTGAAATCTAAATCAGAAATCATTTCACAATAAGAAAAAACAAATTACATTGATTCATTTCAGTAGAACCAAAAAGCTTATAACATTTAGTGTAAAATATAATAAACGATACAATATAATGACTAAACAGAGTTTTAAATGATCATACTTTATAATTCTTAATTTTAGATATTAAAAAATAAATCAAGTAAATACCTTTGATTAAATAATTATTTAATGTCAATCCAAAGATATTCTAATTTGAAATTTGAGTTTATTATAATATTATAATATAATATTCTAAATTGAAGTTTTAGTAAATTCGTTTTCTTTTTCTTAATCGCCAGTGAAGTTTGATTCTTTTAATCTTTATCTCTCCTTTTATTGTCATTTCAAGTATTACTAAATCCTTTTTTCCTACTTTTTAAAGATAATAAAGTTTGTTTCTTTGAATGTTTACCGACAATTTTATTGTCATCTTAAGTACTACTAAATTCTTCTTTCCTTCCTCTACAACTGAACGAAGTTTGATTCTTTTGATCTCAATCCTTCAGTTCACTTCAAGATCAAAAGTGATAGCTTAATCTCTTATTTTTATGCCCTTCGTAATAAGTATTTCCATTTGCGAATGTAATACCGTTCGAAGGCCTGTCTAAGCAGACAATAAGAATGCAGACTTGCGTGATGGTAATACACGTTTGCCCATAAGACTTGGGACCGGAAGTTGATGTCCCGGCCGTTACGTCCGGCCACACAAATGAATTTATGGACGTCAAACTCGGGGATTCGCGACAATCAAACCTGGAGAGATATGATTCTCTGACAAGCTATCATCACGCGAGAAATCGATATTATTAACTGCAATTTCAGTTTATGTGCCGCAAATGATATCGATAATAAGAGCTTCGTGCCACATACTTATACAATTAAATGATCCGTCGAAGAAATTATATTTCGTTTACAAATTTCTATATGGTTGTAAAGAAAAAATCAAAATAATTCGTTGTCTTTTAATATATAATGGAATTTCATATTCTATAGTAGAATCTGTTTGATCAGAAAATAAGCCGGGTAATCGGGGCTCGAGAAGAAAATATGAAAAGCATATTTGCAAAGTAAAAACAGAATGTTTGTGTAACAGAAAATGCGTTTCCTTTTACGATATGAAGTATCTACATCCATACAGTAACAGGAGAAAGTATTTATACACACCTACACGTATCCGTAAATTGGAAATTACTGGTTCTAATTGAAAATACGAACTTCCTTCAATGTGCCATTGTCATGAATATACTAATTAAGAGAGGGGTGACTTGAACAAGGGTGTATAATGAACTATTTTTTGAATTGTTTTTCCGTGGAATACAGTTTTCAAAATTATCGAGAACAATGATTTTTATATAGGATTTTATGTTTCTAATTAATAAATTACTGTTTGATTATTGAATAGAAAAACGGTGTACGTTATATCAGCTGCTTGTTTAATTAATATAGTGCACAATTAATAATTTTCACATTTTCCTCTAACTTTTATTGATCAACGCTGATTTTAATTTTAGTTATTGTAAATATGGCGACCTTCGTTAAAACGGGAATAAAATATAATATAAATAAAATACGAAACATATATTATGAGGAATACAAATTTAAAACTAAATATTTCATCATTAGTTTAATGAAGCTTACCGATTATTTATTTATTCATTTATTATTACTTAATAGACTTAAATTATTTTATTTATGGAATTGAAAGATGGAGCGTCTGGGAACAAAAATAAAGAAATAGAAGAATTAATTGTGAATTAATAATGTGATGCATTTACAAAATTAAGTTCCCAAGCTTTTATTTTATAGTAGCTATTTTAAATAGTAGCGCAGACGAGTGAATTTCGTAAATACTAATTGATCATAACCCCGAATGAAAAATGACTTTAACTGACGTTACTAATCGAAAACGTGTTTAATTTATTTAAACAAGGATATTACCCGACAAACATTTTACAGTTTGTAATGTACCTAATAGTAGTGCGTACGTGAACAAAGTGGTACGATGTTGTAACCTTGAATTATTATTCCGCGGATAATAATCATTTACGATTTGTAGAACTTTATAGAAGTTGAATTTACGGTTGAATGAAAAATCGATGACAGAGGAAAAGAGCTTCAGATATTTTGGTATGTGATATCACGTGTAGTGGTATGTATAAATTGCATCATGACTGAAATACGAATATCTATTCAACGATACGATGTCTCGCAACTTGCTTGATAAGCACGTAAGTTTCCGTAATGTTTGCAATGCAATATGAACACGAGTCCGACAAATCAATTCAACGTTCACACATACATTTCGCTTTGTTGAAATCGAACAAACAACAGATTTCGAAACTTTCATACTTCACTATCTATGTTTCCCAAAGTTGTTTCTTAAAGGGTATTCAAATTAACAAAATTTTAAAATATTATAATTCAATACTATGAAATTGATTTTTACATAATTAAGGATCGTATGGATTGGTGCAACGATAAGTGCGATTGCTTTGACTAATATAGAAACGTCGAAAACGTTTTCAAATTGTCTGCTAATTAAACAAACGCAGCTTGCAGTTAGTTATCTATTTTATAAACAAGGTAAATTAAATGAACATCAGTACCAGATAACCAAGGGGCAGTTGGGTATCTAGTAACAATGCTAATGAAATGTTAGGGCATTTTCCTAATGGATAGAGCGTGTTCTCGGAAACTACGGTTGATAGAATCATAATAGTAGCTTCATAAATAAATGTCTCACGGTGTAGCGATGAAAATAAATGAAATGTTTAAAGGGGTAAGCGATAAATAAAATAAATTCATGACAAAAGTGCTAACTATAGTACTTGAAAAGTATATTTATTAAATTAATAACGTGTCATTGAGTTGATTGTGTTTGGAATTTCGAATATCGTTGATACGTGTAATATCTAATATTTTGCGCTGCAATAAATTATTCTTATAAATTCTTGAAATCGTTCTTTCTATCAACTATAGAGAGAATGACTTTTACTGAGAAATTTATGTTTGAGAAGCAGTTGATTAAAATTTCAAAATAAAATAAAGACGACACGACGACGCATGAGTTGTTTGAAAATCACTTATAAAGAAATAATAGATTACTTTTTAATTATTGAATTATTATTTTCATTTTTCAATTTGGAAGAAGGGCCTATATGTTTCTGCCGTCCTCGAAAATTTATAAAATGTAACATAGACCCTTCTTGTAGACACCCATTTAATTATTAATTACACTAAGAATGACTACATACTTAAATTTTTTTATTTACAGTAAGCAACTAATACCAGACCACTAGTTTCGGTTCAGAGAAAAGCACACCACAACAGAACAGGTATACAAGCTAATTAATAAAATTATGTTTGCCCTTCAGAGGCAGAAATACTATAATAATATTATAGTATTATATAATAAAGAAATAATATAATTTTTCTCGACGTAGAAAAAGCGTTCGATAAGGTTTGGCACAACAGCTTACTAAAAACCATAAAACAGCAATTTCCGGATGCATTTTACCTATTATTAAGATCCTACTTAATCAGTTAACTACGTTCGACGAGTATACACGTTATCTTAAAATCAAAACGATACTAATCCTTTCAACGATGAATTATATTTTTTCAGATAAACATGTGGTTCTTTGTATTAATTCCCTAAATGCATTCCTCCTGGTTTGACGAGTACACATTCAATTTTTTTATTTTATCTCGCGGAGAATGAGAAATTTTTGAAACAAAATTCCACAGTTAACAGATTAAATAGCGCCGATGATAATCGAAAATCGTGAAGAGAAATGTGCAGCCATCGATGTGTTAATTTCGAAATATGTAAAATCTCTTACCGTGACGCAGGTGAACACGTGCAGCTCCATCCTCGGTGTTCCTCCACAACCACTTATGTGGGGACACGAATAGTTGTTAATCACCTTTTGGTCGTGTTTGTCAGAATCGGTTTGAGACACGTCTCGCGATGCATATCGATCGTTTACGTCCTCCTCTTCATCAACGTTTCACTGGGATCTGAAGCCTCTTCTTTAATCGCCGAACATTCATTTAATTCTTCTGTATTGTAAGCTCAGAGCTCTGCTGTAACTTGGTCAAGGCGGAAATTGAATTTCAATCTTCTTATTAAGTGTACTTCTTCCGGCGTTGTTTAAAATGAAACGACATCAATTCGTGGGAGTTCTCATTTTAGACGCTCTTCCGGCTCTGCGATATTTAACATTTAACTAATTAGTATTTCTAGGTTTACTAAGATTTATACGTTTATATGATGAAAAGTATGTTATTATTATAATAAAGATTATCATAGGAATAGGTACAAAGTAATAAGATGAGATAATGATAATTGTTAAAGAAGGTAATCTTCTATTGATGTGAAAGCGAAAGATGCTGATAAGAAAAACTAGTGAACTGCAATCTGAGTTTTGTTTTCGTTTTGTAGTTTTGGATCTTTATATCAATAATTCACGTTTAATGTTCTTTCTGTTTAAATACAAGTGGCAGAACCATTTGTTCAATTTCAGTTCTATTTAGTCTAATTCAATATTCAATGTTTGAATAAGAATCACCATTGAATTATAGAAAAGGAAACTCAAAATTATTAAATTGTTAGAAGAAGTAGATATATTTATACATATATAGTTGCCATAAAAATGAATTTTATAATTTATTTACTGCACAACTATATAAAATGTTTTTATGCTTCTTTCATAGAAATTGCAAATCAATTTTCTTCAATCAAAAATTGTGTCCTTTAATAAATTTCGCAAAATTCAAAATTTCACCGTTCAACTGTGAATACAACTATGAACACGAGTAAATTATAACCTTTCGTTTATTATAACTTTCTAGCCCCGAGCAAATTTTTCATATCGATTTCGAATCCATGGACCTATTGATGTTCAAAATTTTATATAAACTGGTTTTAGAAAATTCCACATGGATCTATAATTAGATGCTATGCATTTTTAGTCGTTTGAAAAGTCGAAGAACATTTGCATTTGTGTATTACTTTAATTTCACGATAAGAAAGAGGAACGTGTCTAAGAATTCGAATTGTCCTCGGTGTATGTTATTTGCATTCCATGAGGAATTTCTCGGTAAAACGATTGCGGAGATATCCAGGAAGTCGAGTGCGCAGGAAGTTTGGAAAGTGGACGTTCACTGTTGAGGTTGAATATTTTGTCTGAGACGGCTCTTGTCGGAGACGAATTGTTAAATAGTATCAACAAAAGTATGTGGAAACCTAACACCAGAAATTCTATTCCCGGCAGACTGTCGACGACAAAAGTGTTTTTTTTTTCAAATGAAAT